TATTGTAATGCAATATTAATAAAAAGCATATACGGAACAGAATGAATCATGAATCAGAATGAATCGCTGTAAAAACTGTCAATGGAATTTCAAAATTTATTTTACATAAAGCTATACATATTAAGCACTCAAAGAATACAGTATCCGTTTCGGTAGAACACTTAAATTATAAACAACATACACACATTTTTTGTTAATTTTAAAGTAATATAACATTCTGCTGAGTCTGCAATATAACACATTACCTTAATACTGCGAGGTGTTTGGAGAGATGTTTTTAAACGAAAAACTGTTTTGTATAGAAATTCAATTTTACAAAAATTCAAAAGTACCTATAAAATTAAGGTGAATTCATTTGCCGAAATAAGTAAATTCTGGTATAAAGAAGTTAATTTTTTTATTTTTAAAACTGCTCTCAAAAAATTAACAGCTGGATTCATAGTGACTTGAATCTAGTCACTCTATAGTATATGTAGTACTAGGATTAATTTGCCTAAATAATCTTCTCAACTCCCCTATTGTTAGCGTATAGGACTGAATTTTTTTTAGTATAAAACTGTAATTTGGAGTGTTATACAAGTTTATATAATGCGTTTAGAGTGTTATATGCCCTAAAACGAAAACTAATGAATCTTGAATTTTTAAAAGTTTAATGGTTTATAGAACTTAATAACATTCCTTAATAATTTCCGACCTTTACCTGACTTGATTGAATTACTGTATTTTCTTATATCTAATATATAAGAAATAGAAATGTCAAAAAATTTGAATTTATCACAATTTGTATATGACCATCATTTGAACAAAATTATAAAATTTTTTTTTTTTTGTTCAAAATTTCGAAGGTTTTTACTCGTATTGTCTTTATACAAATGTTATCAATTGTAGAAAAATTACAATAGTATTCATTTTTTCAATTTGAGTTCAAATAATTCACAATAATTACATGTTATTTATTTTTAATTCATTCAAGTAAATTGATCAGGTGCAAATTAATAAAATAAAATTTTTGTATAGGTTGCAACCTTGATATTATTGACAATCATATTTTATTATAAAAAAATTTTATCTTAAAAATAGATTAAAAAAAAATTTTTTTTTTGAATATTTTATTAATAAAATGCATTAAAAAATTTGTCAGGAATATTATTATAATTATTTTTATACCTTTATTTCTTATTTGAATTAATTAAATTATTATGTATTTTGTAAATTATGAAATATATTTTAAATTAGAAATAAATTTGGGTGTTTTTGTATTCACTTTCAATTATAAATTTTTATTACATATTTTTAATTTAGAAAAAAAAAAAATCAAATCACAATTCACAATGTCATTTCAAACTTATTTATACATACATGGTATTTATAAGATAAAAGGTTTGATTGTCGGTATTATCTTGTTTGATTGTAAATCTCTCTCTGTTGTTTGAGAGAAAATATAAAATGTAATTATTCCTATTAACAGTATACTTGAATGTTAATGTTGGAAATAATTTAATTACGAATAAATATAAAATATTTCTTATTAGATTTATTAAATTTTAAATTTAAGATTATTTAAATTCTTTTATTAAAATTTTAAATTCATTTTTACATTATGTACGAGTATATATAAAAATTTCTGTGCGAAATCAAATTTACAAAATTTATTGACAACCAAATTAATCGTTTTTCTAATAACACAATAACAAATTATTCTAAAGCGATTAAGATATTTCGTTTTGCCAGTAGGCTACAAATACTTATATTACACTTAAGTAGTCTACAATCATATTATCATTATATTTGTACATAAAAATTAAAATAATTGGAAAATCTTGTAATTCAATTCTATATCTTTTGGGCATAAATTTGAAAATATAAAAAAGGTGTTATTTCTAAAATTTTAATTAATTGTTAATGAATATACAAATTTTCTAGGTAATTATAGTAATAAAGTGTTATACCGTCATATTATATGCTATTAATGCTCATAGGCTAAAAGTAGTAATTTTGGAAAAACGCGTAAAAAATATATATGTTGCTTTATTTTTATTGTACAATTAAAAATATAAAAATTTAAAGCACATTTCTCTTTCGTATTATATAATCTTATTTCGTATAATATAATATAATTTCGTATTATTCTTAAGTAATTTATATATAGCCATTTAAATTTATATACTAAATTTCAATTAATTGTGTTATTTAATTTTAAAATTCTATTTAAGCGTAAGTATACACTATTCCAAAAGTATAACACTTTCAACTACAAATTGGGAGTAGTAGTTACGAACATTTATACCGGTTGATAATATGACTTAACATTTTGTATGTCAATATTTAAATTTGTTGGTTTATTTTTATTCCTATATACCTGTATGTCTCTTTAAAACAGTGTTTCATTTTCAAACTACTCCCAAACTACTCTCTTCGAACTCTTAGTTGAAAATATTGGGTAGTATTATATTTCTTTTTTTTTTTTAATAAAACTGAATGTATAACATTTTGTATGTATAACACTTTATGTGTATAACACTTTCAATTAAAGAAGTGTATAATACTTAGAATGATTTTTTTACGTATTTTAGCCACATAAGTTGGTAATTTATTTCACACCTACATGTGGGCAAATAAATTATTAACAATAAGAGACAAACTTTTCAATAAGCAAAAGTTTGAGGCTTTTGTGATTGTAAATTGTAATACCTTACAATTATGTACCCATTATTTAAGCTCATATTTAATGTGCCCATTAAAATTAAGCTCTTAAAAATTTATACAAAAATTATTTGGAAAATTTGTGAGAAGGGTTTTCTCAATCTCACTCAATTTCTCAGACTCAATGTAAAAATCAAAACTATTATATTGAGAAAAACAATTTCCTTTTATTTTCCGTGTATTTAATATTAGATGGGCAGCATTTTAATTGTAATGATAAATTTCTTCAGAATATTTATTCAAATATCCGGAACTTATAATAAAAAAAAAGTTTATTTTAGAAATGCTTAAGTACAATAATACCTTCATAATAAATATTTTTTAAAAAGGAAAGTAATTTGCATGTATAGAAGACAATATAAATTTCATATACACATTAATAAAACAGCACTAAAATCTCCATTAAAATTCATTGAGAATATTAAAAGAAAAAGAAAACAACGTTTTTAACGCGCCAAATATTAAAATTCATTAATTTAAAACAAGAAAAAAAATATAACAGAAAATTTTCTCTCATATATCATTATTTCCTTTTCAAAATGATCAAGATAATAAAAATGCACTTAAAAGTTCAAAATTATGATCACACAAAGTCATTTGAACATATTAAAAATGTCTTAAAAAAGAATTTATGCGATGACGATCAAATTAAATATTCTCAAAAGAACATACATAATATAATACATATGTAAGTATACGATTAAGTGTTATACTGTTATACAAATCTAAATAACAATTGTAAATATATATGTAATACAAAAGTATATGGGTTTAGTCAGTATTTTTTGTAAATTTCCTCAAATACCAATATAATATAAAAAGTGTTCTTTTAGTGAAAACAAAATAATTTCGTAAAACATCCACTTGGAACGCAAATTAATCTGAATAATAATAAAAATGTAAAGAATTGCGAATTTCTCGAATCAATTATGAATGAATTTTTGTAATATTAAGAATCACAACATCGCAAAAATTTAAAATAATACAAGATTTAAAAGTGTTGTATAGGCGTATGTATGGCTGTAAATTTTTATACAGTTATAATTTTATCTATATATACATACGAATATTCTAGAAATTTGAAATTATAAATCTTAAATTTGAAGTTTGTTCTGCCTCTCTACATTCATTAGACAATGAATGATACACGCAGTTCCTCTCAATTACTTTCCATTTGCATTCAAAAAAAAAAATGTTATAATTTATGTGATAATAGTAATTAATATGTTAAAGAGAGAACAACTATGCCATCGCTGGAGCTGTATGTTCTACTATAGTCAATGAGTACGCGTTCGCATCCGTGATAACGCAAATGCCAAAAAATAAAATTTTATTTCATTTGGGGAACAGAAATTCGCTTCTCTTTTTACAATCGCAAACCATAGTCTATCAGTTAAGAACCAAATAGCCTATTACATGAAAGCGCGTTCAATCTTTACCTCAAATAGTAATACCAATATCCCCCTATATAATATTATACCTCGTTTAATTTATTTTTGGCAATTTGTACACATAAAACAAATCTTCCTATATTTTGTACGCCGCGCAATAAAAGCAAAATAATATCAATAAAAATTATAATAAACATGTAGTCTATTTAGAGAAAAATGGTGAATCTTCCAGACAATTGAATTAAAAGGGGTCAATTATTGTGGTCATTTTATTATAATATGTGTTTTATATATTTATGTATATGTATATGAACAAGCCGTAGTAAAAATATTTTTATATTATATCAACAACATAAATGAAAACAATAATAACAAAAAGAAAAAATCTGGTTTGATCAACATATGATCGACCGGATCATATTAGTTCTGGCGGGCCAATATTCACAAAGAATTTAAAAATTTATTTCTATTGTTAAACAAAGTCTGTATATAAGATTTCATACAAATCGATTGATTAATTTTCTTAAGAAATTATAAAAATTTCTTATCGAAATTTGACATACGTCTCGGAATTTGATCAATTCGGCACATTTCAGAACTATATTGTGAGTCTGATATAAGTTTTCAAATAAAAATCGGTTCAACTCACCTGGTAATTTAGGAGTGCTTATACAGACCAAAAGATTAGCAGACATCTCGCTGAAAATTATTTTTTTTTGCATTGTTCGCAACAGAACGGAGTTCGGTTACGGAAATGTCGTTATGTGAAATTTACTGTTAAAACAATACCACCCTTTTTGTATTCAATTCAATTGGTAAAAATGTTAGTAAGATGCAAAAATATTTTTTTGTAAATGATTATTTTATTTAAAGCACTTACATGTTGACGTGTGAACTTTATATTTGCCAGTTTCAGTTTATTAAACCTCGACAACGTATCGTGTCGTTTAATTTTATTATAAAATAAAAAATATATATATAAAAGAAATTTTTTTGAAAATAATCATAAATAAATAAAAAAAATTTAAAATAAACTTTAAAAATGAGTAGAATTGCTTTTTTCAATTTAATATTTATGCTTTTAATAATTTTAACTCAGACGGTTAGTGGAATTTTAATTGCACATATTATTTGTAATTTTTATATATAATTTAAATTAAATAAAAATTAAATGCATTAATCATTATTACAAAATTTTGCAGTGTTTCGAATTTAAAAAATCACTTAAATTTCCTTTAAATTTATAGTAAAAAAATAAAAGATAAAAATTCAAAATTCAAAATTATTAATTTAATTAAAAGATTATGATTTTATAAACCCTCTATGTATAACAATTAAAAAAAAATTTTTGAAATTGTGTAAAATTTAATTTAAAAAAATAATTGTGGAGGATTTTTGAATGAAAAACAAAAAAAAAAAAACTTTTTTTTCTAATATAAAATTCGATTGATTATTATACTTAAATTTTCCAGCTCATATCGAGTGTTAAAATAAAAAAGTTTTCAATTCCAATCAGTGAATCAAAATTTGCTTTCGTTCAGAATTATAAATATTTTGAGGTACGTTTCTCATAATAATATGAAATTGATATACGATATAGATTCTAATTTTTTAACCTCCACTTTTGTTATCATACTGTTAATGTAGTGTTGTGCTAAATTGTATAACAAAAATACAAAGTATATACCGTAATATTTTGATAGAGAGTAACAAGCTTCTTTTCTGATATTCAGAAATTTGAAAATTTACATTTGAAAATTTGAATTCTAATTAATGCAAAATTAAATTAAAACAATGATGTTTGCCAAAAATTATTATAAATTATATGTTACCGATTATATAGGCGAGAAATACCGTTAAAATTTTTAATTACGATATGTACATAATTCGAAAGTTATTTATGATAAAGATTTTATATTTAAATGTAAAATTGTAAATGTCAATGTCATTTGTGTTCTGTCATGAAAAAAAAAAACAGAAAAATTTTTTGTTATTTAAGCAAATCATTTCAAATTTAGCAAGTGATGTGAACTGTATACCAAAAAATACGATATATATTTAAAGAATGTGATAAATTTTTTCTAAAATTGATTATATAAAGAAACTGTTTTAATAAAAAATATTTTTCATATTTTATTTAAATTTGTTTTCTTTCATCAATTACACTTTATATAATAATTATTGTGTATAACAGTTAGAATATTACATATTTAAATTTTGTAATGGTATAATGTAATGGTATAATAATTTTGTAATGGTATTACAAAATTATTTTTTTTTTTCATAAAAAGTCACATATTTTAAATTTGTTGAATTGGAGAAAATAAAATTTAATTCATCAAATTAAATTGGAATGTTTTTAAAATGAAACTTTTTTTACTCAAATAAAAATAATTGTGAATTAGCACTAGCACTACATTTTGCATAATTTATCTACAAATACAAATAAACACAAATATTCTCCATAATATTGTCTTTCCTCTCATAAATTCTCTCACCTAAAACTGTGCAAATGAGATTATTAATAAAATATTCACAATAATTGAATCAAGTGGAATGCTCACTGTTAGAATGCTCATTGCATATTGTAAAGTTAATTTTTTGTCACATATAAATTAAAAATGCACACGTCTAATAAAGTTTGTGAGAATTTTAAAAATATTTTTTTAAAAGTAATTTTTACTCAAACACAAATTATTTAAATAATAGATTAAATTTTAATAATTTTATGTTAAAAATTTTATTTAAAATATTTTAATTTTAATTCTTGTTTTTATTCTTTTTAGAGTCATATTGCTAAATCACAATTTTTAGCACCATTAACAAATCGACTGAAAGAATTAACATTCATACATATAATTGGAAATTTCTTAGATAAGTAAGTATATTAATTAATTTTAAATATTAATAATTTTTACACTTAAATTTTAAAAATTATTTTTTATAATTTACTTTTTTAGAAAAGATTTTTCAATTAATTTACAAAATGGAAATTGCCGTAGCCCAGCAGAACCACATCAATATACTGGATTATATTGTGATATACAATTTCAATTAGCAAGTTATCCATATGAAAATGCAACATTATTAAAACGTCAAACATTTTATAATAATGAATATCATAATACAATTATAGATGGCGGTACTGTTTTTAATAAAAGTGATAAAGATTTTAAAGTTTTAATAATAATTAGACAAGAATTTTTAGAAATTAAAATCAATGATAAATATTTTGGTTTATTTTTTTATGATCAAACACAACCGATACATCGAACGAATCATATATTAATAACGAGTGCAATAGTTAAAAATGCTGAAGTAAGAGAATTTTTATTGGTTAATGAATATGAAATAGAAAATAAGAATTATATGAATTTGGAAAATATATTTTGAAAAAAAAATTTTTTTTTATTTAAAAAAAAATTTAACTATTTTAATTATAAATAAAATATTATAAATATTTAAATGTTGTATAAATTATTGTGAAAAATAAATATAATGAATTGAATTCTTAAGAGAAATTAATTAACAAAGTGAAAACGAAGAGAGAACGAAGAAAAACGAAGGGGAAAGTTACAGCAAATTGCAAATTGTTAAAGAAATTATCTTAAATAATGAATTTAGTATTAGTAGAAACAACAAGTTATCAAAAATATAATGAAATCAGTGCTATATTCTATAATCAAGAACTAAACAATCAAAATCTCTTTAGCCCTCAAAAACGCAAAAATCCGAAGAAGGGATTGAAGAATTCCGAATGCTCCAGTAAGATCAGTGCCTCAAAAGTTGAACATTGCTGTTATGTCGTTGTTGGTAAAGAGGTACAGCTTCGAGAAAAATTTTGCCTCTTTGCTGAGTAACAGAAGGGACTCTGAGCGTGACTTTTCAGGTTGTCCAGTGGGAACACACGTTGTTAGATGGTACGCAGATGGGTCACAGACCAGTATTGGGACGAGTGCGGGGGTATTTCGACCAAGAACCAAATTCTCCGAACCTATGAAAACTTTTCCGAGTGTGTTTCGGGCTGAGTTGCATGCCATTGAAATGTGCGTGCGGTTCAGCCTGGAAAGGGGGTATCGGGGACAGGAGATAATGATTATGTCGGATAGCCGGGCTGCGATCGGAGCGCTGAACTTGTTTTCAGTATCCTCCGCGGCAGTATAGGGCCGTCTTGAGAAGCTCAATGAGTAAGGCACATGCAACTGGGTCACACTGTGCTGGGTGCCGAGCAATGTGGGCGTGGAAGGAAATGAGGCCGCTGATGCACTTGCAAGGAAGGGGGCAAACACACCTCTTCTTGGGCTGAAGCCCTTCTTCGGAATCGGACCACATACTATTCGTTGGGAATTAAGGAAGGAATTAGAAAGAAGATGGTCGGAGCGCTGGAGAAGTCTTCCGTGGCTGCGGCAAGCCAGAAGCGATTTAAGAAAATTATAGAGATGGGCAAGAGCCAGGTGAGAGTCCTCACCGGCATTTTGACGGGTCACCGCAGGCTTAGGGGACACCTCAGTCGGCTGGGCCTGGAAAATGAGGATACTTGCAGATCCTGTGGGGAGTATGGAGAGATCTCGGTGCACCTCCTGGGGCAGTGTGATGCTCTTGCTCGTAGGAGGGGGGAAGTGCTGGGGGCTTTGCTGTAACGGTGGCGGAGTTACGGTCTTCTGGTCCTCACAAGTTGCGCACTCGGATGGGGACGCAGAATAGATCCTTATACGTTGTCGCGGTGCACTGTTGCCCCCGTTGTACAAATCTACAAAAAACCTATGTCGTTGTTATTAATGTTTGTTGTTATTATTGTGTGATTAATATTTGTGTGAAATGTCAAAAACAATGAAAATAATTTAAAGAACAAATTTAAAATTAGAAATTCGAATCCGGTTGATTGCCGAACTATAATTTCTGAATTTCATATGTATTTTTAATATATTATATAGGCAAAAAAATTTTTTGATAACCATGTAATGGACATCGAGTGTATTCATTTAAGTATAGCAAATTTATAAATCCAGTACAAGGTGTAGGTATGCTTAAACATTAAAAGCGAATATTGTTGTCACTTTTCTTTAAAGAACAAAGTTCTCAAGTGTTACTTCCCGCTGTGTTTTCAGGGTAACATCCGTTATATTTATCACAAAACAAGAAATAATCTGTTGGATTTAACAATTTGTGCGATAAGTGAGGAAAATAATCTTTTACTGGAATTAACGACTAGATCCGCTCATTAAAATTTAACAACAATACTGTAAGAAATGTGAAAACCTTGTAAAAGTTGTCATACATAAAAATTTTTACTAACTAAAATTCTGATAACTAAAATTGAATTTCGAAAAATTAACACACATGCACTTAACTGTTAAATTAATTATATAATAAAAAATTCAACAAAATGGCGAAGTTCTATACGGTGGGAAGTACGAATAAAAAATAAAAAAAAACTTAGGAAAAATTCCAATTTGTGCAAAAAGTAAACAGTAATTAAAAGTTATACTAGATAAAAAGTACAATTGGTTCAAGTTAAATTGATCTAATACGTGACCGTTAAATCTGATTTAAGATTAACTATTAGAATTTAAAGGTTTAAAAGTTGAAAGTTGAACCATTGGCAAGTAAATATATGCAATTTTATAATTAAAAAAAAAAACATTGTACAATTAATTTCTGTACTTATAGGCAAAAAAACAAACGATATGAAAATTAGTTGACTTGAATTTCTGTTATAATTTTTATTACAATATTCACATACATATGTATGTGTGTATATATAAGTTTGCTAAGCCCAATGTATGTGACAATTTGGCACGTTACAATAAATGTCAAAAATAACATTCTAACTAAAGTTTTTTCTTATTATTTTTACGAATTTGTAGTTTTTGAGCGAAATTTCGAATTACATGTTAATGAACTAACGAAAAAAACCGAAATATAACAGTCTTTCTGTTGTTCTGCTTCATTTCCTCGAAAAAAAAAAAACCAAAATTTCATGGTTTTTAGAACTTCTTTAACTCAATGTTTCATTGCATCTAGCGAAATGCCAACCTTGAGAAAAATTTCAATTTATATAATGTTAAATATCAAATAATTTTGTTTAATGAAGTTTGGCTAAAAGTATCTGAGTCTGTTGGCAAAAATGACGTACATGTTTCGAAGCATGTTTTGCAGAAAAGTGCATTTAAGGAGACATTTGTAGAGTTAGAAAAATTTTTATATACACAAAAATAATTCAAAAATATGCCCCATTTTTGTGAGAATCTAGAATTTTACATATCGATTAATTTCGGACATTTCAAGTAATTTTAAATAGTTGTTCGTTTTCGATCTGGAAAAAACAAAAAAAAAAAATTTTTTTGCAAAAAAATTTTTGCGGGTAAATTTCGCAACATTCAAATTTGTTTTTTCATTTTTTTTTTTTTTTTTGTAATTTATCTTTTCCTTGTAACTAATACTTTTTTTCTCAGTGTCACAGTTTTTATCAATCTCTTTTTTTTTTTAGAAGGACACGGAATTAATTAAATCAGAACTAAATTAGAAATAATTAATAGGAAACGATAATTTGTTTAATTTCATAATCGATAATGTTTGACAGATAAATGAGCGCAATATGAATTTCTATTACAACCTAATAGAAATCATTTAATCAAAATTTAATTAAGTAGCGCAAATTTTAAATAATGCTTGCATAAATACACAAAAGAGTTAACATATCAATTTATAATCTCATATTTTAAGTAACATGTGACATACTTTAAGTGAAAGACCTTTTTAATATGTAAGTGAGCATATTTGCATTCTATAAATGTCAAAAAAGCATTTGCATTCTATAAATGTCAAAAAAAGAACTCTTTCGTGCTACTCTCTTGTACAATCCAGTTACTTTGTGGTATTCATGAATACTCGTTAATTAACTGGCGAAAACCCGTTACCTTTTACACCTTACCAGATTTACTTCTAATTTTTTCTTTGTTTGACATGCTTAAAATATTCGGAATAGAGATGGAAAAAACTGCGATTTTTCAATCACAGTGATTGAATATGATTGCTCAGTTCAAAACACAGTGAAAAGGAATAGTGATTCCAATGATTGTTCTTTTCGAATTAATTTGATTATTATGATGAAACAAACCTGTATGATCCATTAGAGAAATATGATCAATCATATTGGTAACGAGAAAATTTAAGGCTTTCCTATGAAGATTTTTGTTTGGGGAACCAGAAATCGGACAGGCATGATTTAAAAAACATATTCCTGGATAATGATATTTAAATTGCATTATTAGTTCCTTACCCGATAACAAATACAATATACAACAAATATCAATTCCAAAAAAAAATTGAATTCTGTAAATAAATTATGTCAAAAAATTTGCAATATTATTTTTGATAAAATTATAAATCATAATTAAATCGTGAAATGCAAATCACGTATTTTTATAATAAATGTATTCTGACTTATTCCTGACCTTAAATTTATTCTCAAAGCACGTGTTACAGAAAATAAGAATGCAATATGAATTCTTATTTTCTTGAAGTTAAAGAAAAATTAAAAAAAAAAAATTAAGTGAACTTAACCCTAAAATACAGAAAATTATTAAAATTTAAAAGGTTCATAAATTTCAAATACCTATAGTTTGTTGAAAATATAAACGATTTTGACATGATTAAAATTTATGAGAATGCCAATTGAATATCACATATTGCAAGCACATTTTCCATAACAAAATTCAGAAAATATTTTAAAAAATGAGTATAAAATTTAAAACTTTGAATTACAACAATGTTTCAGTCATATGCTCCTTACTACTTTAACTTGAGGTAAAAGGTGTTAAACCTGTGGCTGTAGTGTAAACGCCAAAAAATTTATGAAAAAATTTATGACAGAAGCAGAGATCTCCTCGAAAAAGAAAAATTTCCGTATAAACTGTGTTTGCGTTGACAAGTTTAAAGATAACTAACCTAACGTTACAACCACATGCGAATGTCAAAAGCCTGACTTTTGTAGCTAGTGTCAAATCATTTGTCATTTGAATAGAGGCAATTCGCTCTTGCTTTCAAAACAATGACTGAAAACTAAAAAAATATTAAAATGCTCTATCAATTTTAATCGATGTCTTTTGGAATTATTCTTATGCTGCAGTCAGTTAATACGCAGCCAAACAACAATACTTTTACAATAATATAGCATTCCTGTCAAATTTGAATGAAAAATGAAGCTGTCAATCCTGTTTTTTAATCTTTTATAAATTCAAAGATAAATGACCTTTATATAATAAGAAAAATTAATTTTCATAATAATTTTAATGAATTATAAATAACGCCATTTCTTATCCTGCTACCAATAAATAAAATTTTCTTAAATATTAACTGTAAAATATTTTTTATTTCATTTAATTTAATTTACATTCGAAATAAATGTTAACCATTAAACCAAATCAAAAATTAATAAAAAAAAAAAAGTATCAATTACATGACGCCCGAATTACACTAACTACAATTCTCAAAATTAATCGATTT